CTAAAAAGTAAAAGCACCTCCAGAGGTGCGTTGGCTTTTTAGAAGCAGCTTCTGCAAATATAATAACATTTGGCACAGTTTATTTTATTAGATTATCCGGATCCGGTTTTCTAGAAGCAGAAGCGAAAAGCAGAGATATCTGACTACCACTAGTGTGTCCTTGGGTGATGTGACGAGACCGTTCACGCCCGGTACGAGCACGCTCACGGCCATCGCACCGCCGGAGAGGACAAAGATTTCGTTAAACTTATTTGCTTCGCATTCAAACGTTCTTACCCGCTCACCCCGCATAGGACCTGTTGCAAACGCAGTGGCTTAGACGGGGGACGCAAACATACCACCGCCAGAATAGTACTTCAGCACGACGCGCAGACGATGCAGCGCCACGAGGGCGTTGGCCGCGGCGATATCGTTGGCCTTCCACATTACGTGCAGCGTGACGTTTCTGCACGTCGCCAGCGCCGACAAAAGCACCTCGAGAGCGTCGAGCGAAAGCGTCTGAAGGTGGATCGTGAGACGGCGCGCGTGGCGGCGGCGGTACATGAGCGCGTTGGCCAGCAATTCGGCGATGGCTGGGCTGGCCGCGTGCGCAGAGAACTCGCAGTACTCGAGTCCACGCTGCATGAGCTGTGGCAGAATGCTTCCGAGAGCGTTCAGAGGAACACGGAGGCTGTTCGAAAGGCACAGCCGCTTCAAGGCGCGTGCGGTTCCGAGCCACTGGGCAAACTGCTGCATTACCGTCTCGTCATGGACGAGGCCATGGTATGCGACCAAGCGATGGCACGTGCCAGCGCCAAAGTTGGACGGTAAGGGGTCCGCGAGCGTCAAACGCTCGAGAGCTGAGAAGCCGGCAAGGACGTCGCCGAAAGCGTCGGCGTATTGCCCGTGCCCGCCGCCCACATTGAGCGATGTGACCTTGGTGGCATCGAGCCGACGAAGGACATCGAGTGCGCATGGCGTCATTTCGATTTGGACACGCGTCAGCCGGTGCAAGTCATACTTGGCCAGCGCACGCAGCAACTCGTCGTCGCCTTGTATCTTGAGCGACGTGAGCCCAGGCGACGTGAGCCCAGGCGACGTGGCAATGGCTTTTGCCAAGCAGCCATTGCAGTGCACCGTCGAGCAGGAGAGATCAAGCGCCTTGGCATACGGCGTCTGAAGCCACGCGACGATACAGTCGGCGTTGTAGGCTCCTCGAGTGCACACTTTGAGCGACTCGAGATGTATGTGCGCTGGCGTCATGACTGCATCGACGCACGCGTTAATCGTCGTGGAGTCCTCACGGCAGTAAAAACCAGCGCGCTGGACGTTCACACAGCGCGCGAGGGCATCGCGGACCGTCGTGTCTGTCGGCGGATCGAACATGAACACCTCGACAGCCGTGACTCTGTCGCTCCACGCGCTGACAATGTCCGAAAGGGCGACGTGTGGCGCGGCTCCACTGTAGTCGGCCCACGTCAGCTCGAGCTGCCGCCCCAGACCCAGCGCGTCGATGAGCTCGCGCCGCGTCACTGCAAGCCGCTCGACCGCCTGCCACACCGAGACGGCGTCGACCTTGATGGAGGAGAAGGCTGGAAGCGCCGTCAGAGCCAGGCGCAAGTGCTTGTCCGGTATCTTGAAGAGATTGATGCGCGGCCAGTGGTCGTGCAAGTCGACGACGCCAGCAAGCATGGTGAGGCGTTGGAGCGCCGCCGGCTGGGACGCCGTCGGCACCGCTTCGACGAACGCAGCGACGTCTTCCCAGGCGATGATCGTGAGGATGTGCTGGAGGAGGACCTCGGGCAGGTGGAGCACATGCGAGCGGACAACGTCGACACGGGGCGCCTTCACTTCCAAATCGTCCGCAGCGTTGACCGAGATACCGACAGCAGGTTGCACTTCGTGCACGTGGGCCATGAGCGCAGCTGCCGTCTCGTGCTCTTGCACAGCCGCGGCGCCGTCGTCGATCGCGGTCTGGTCCACGGGCGCCGGGGCGGCGACGGCCACGAGCTCGTCGATCGCAGAGGCCGCCGCTGGCAGCTGGTGCTCGACGTCGCCAAACGTTGCGCGTCTGAGGAGGTCGTTGGCGTCCTGCTTGGTCATCCTAGTCATCTTCTCGTGGTCGGGCCAAATGAAAAATGGGTGCTCCGTATCTCAACGTGACGGCGATTGGCTGATTTTATGACAATGGGGCGCTAGGATTGGCTAAAATACAACCGACCGACGATGATGACACCGCCGCCGCTTAGCAATGTCCACGCTGTTGCTGCTTCCATCGACCGACGCTAGCAACGTCGACTGCGCATCCTTGACGAGCGCTAAGACGTACATATGTAGCCGTTAGCCAAGTGCCAGCGCTCACGTCCATTCCTGATGACAAGAATGCGATGCGGATGATGCTCGGCCAGCATCGAGGCGAGCGAGTGACCGAGCAGCCAGGCGCCTGGAGCCACTGCACCGTGCTGCATGCTGAGGTTGACACGATGCAATCCGATTCTCAGCCAAAAAAGTGTCGACCAGCTCACTCCGCAAGGGACCTGTTATGATGATTCGGTCACACAAATACGCTCGATTTACTATCCAAACGTAGCATACCAGTCCGATGGCGCCGAGAACGAGTAGCGAACCGACCTGTGAAAAGACCACCGATAACGCCGAGCCAATCGAGAATGCGAGTCCGATCAGCCGCCCCATCGAGAGCTCGACGCGCAAATGCGGTCGTCGTTGGGACCGACCAGCTGAATGAGCCGCGACAGACATGCCATCAAACTCAGTCGGTCGACCTTGGAGCGCCGCTCTCGTTCGTGGTGCAGTTGCAAGAGCAAGGCGTGGAGCTTCGCCTCGTGACTGGCTTGAATGTCGAGCGCCTTGGCCAATGGCAGCAGAAACACCAGTGTCGAGAGCGATCCGAGCAGCGTCAGAATCAGCAAGTAGTAGCCAGGTAGTGGCGCGACGCCACTGATGCAGTAGACGACAAGGCCACCGACAGCGACCGCCAGCTGGACGAGCGCAATCGACATGAGCGCCGTCACAAACTGCGTATAGACGGCGACAACCTTGAGCACGCGACAGCGCAGATTGTACCAGACATTCAAATTCTCGTGCAGCGTTAGATCGACCGTCTTCTTCTTCACCTCCGCTTGGGCCGTTGGCGCTCGCTTCTTGCCATCAGTATCGTCTTTTGCCGTGAGCGAGTCGAATTGGAGCCAGAGGGACCAGATCTGGAGCGACGAATACCCGACGATGCCAGCCACAACGTACATCTGGACGCAGTACTTGATCAAAAGACAGAACGGCAGTCCGCTGCGCTCCGTGCCCCCAAACTGATCTTTGATCGACATCCGTGCATACGTCGATGTGTGCAAAAGTCTCAAGCGGCCAACGTCGTCGCACGACGAGCGGTTGAAAAAGCGCGCGCGCAGCGTGACCTTGCTCGTCATGACGGGCGGCTGGAACGACACGGAGTCGGCATTGACCGTCACCACGTCCAGCGTGCCCACCGAGAGCGCCTCCAAGTAGACCTTCTCGTTCGTAAATGGATCGGCAAACCCGACCTCGATGATCGGAAGCCCGTTCATGTAGCTCGTTTTCGGCGCCAAGACCAAGTTCCACACGGCGCGGATCGAGCCGTCGTCGTTGACGTCGCAGATGTCCGAGAGCGTGCCATGAACCGTGTAGTTGACATTGGCTGGGATTTGCAGCACCGAGCTCAGCGGGATCAGAAACGGCGTCGACGGCGCCACCTGCGTGACCCACGAGTGCAGCAGAATGCCGTTGAAGACCACGACGAGGTTGATCGCGACCCATAGCGCGGTGTGCACGAGGTACAATTTGAATCGCTTTCCCACGCGCGAGGCAAAGACGGTTGGGGCCGGGTCATCTGCGAACGGCTGGCCGTCCGTGTCCAGAAAGACCAGACTGTTGACATCATCACCAACCTTGGCGATGAGAAACGTGTTTGGAAGCGACGCGTAGAGATGCTCGGCGTAACCAACGCCACAGATGGGCATGATGGTCAAGACGATGCCCCAAAAAAGCTGCTCCCACCAGTTGCGACGTTTGAGCGCAAAACCGGGGGTCAGCGGTTGCCGCAACGACGGGCGTCGTTGTCGAGGGTCCGAGAGTCGTCGGCTCGGGACCGCCGCCGACTTGCGCATCGGCGACGCAGCGTAAATGATGTTGAGCAACAGAAAATAGACCGTGTAGACTTCGAGGAGGGCCCAAAACCACGTCTGGGCCGCGTACTTGCAGTTGAGCGCGATCGCCACATAGACAAACCAAATGTAAACGCAGCTGAAGAAGCACTGCGGGTGCGAGACGGCCGCCATGACCCAATGCAGTCGATCGCGCCATCGCGGCAGGTTCGTTGCCTCGGGCAGCGGGCGGCGCTTGAGCCACCGGTGGTAGTACATCCATGGCAGCGGCCAAAACACCACGAGGACGCAGAGGTACACGAGGTACTCGGCCGAGTCTTTCATGATGGCGTCGTACTTGTCGAGCTTGGCGTCACGGTCCGAGTGCTTGAACGACTTGATTTTGGAGAGGCGACGCACGGGCGATGCCGCTGGGTTGCCGTCCAGCGTCGCAAAACAGCTAGCACAATAGAGCTTGCCCTTGACACGCAGCGCACTGGTGACATCGAGGGCCACTTGGTGCCACTGCTTCTTGCAGCTCTCGCCTTGGCAGTAGACCTTAGGCACTCCGTCCGGCGCGATTGGTTCTTGTGGCGCGGGTGTACCGAGATCAACGGTGTCGGTGCGACCAATCGCGACGACGATTTGGTCGTCCTCGGCAACCGACAGATCCACGACGGACTTCATGGGGGTGCTGAGCTCACGGCGACGAGTCGACTTGTGCGACCGAGCGCTTGCTACAACAGTGCCGACGCTTGGTCAGCAAAACCGTTGGAAATCGTACCACGCCGCCGGTTGCCAAGCTTACGGGATCGATTGGATACATGGATACCCTTTGGGTCGTCGAGTGGACGGGCATTCATGTCGCCTCGTGCGTGCCGGTTTTGCGTCGAAAGATCGAATTCGAACAACGCTTCGCCACGCTGCCACGTGGAAGAATCGAACAAAAGCCGATAACGACCGATCCGAGAAGGGCCATCAAAAGATCGGCGCCTTTTCCACCGACGGACCAGGCTGCACTCGGCTCGACGCCACGGCCCGCAATGACATCGTTCAAGATCGAAGCCGCGAGCAGCAACGAAGGTGCAGCGGCGTCTTCGCTTGCCACTGCCGAGGTCGCCACCGCGTCGCGTCCCCAAGGCACAGAAACAGAAGACGAAGAAGCCATCGCTTTGACAGAGCTAAAGCTCGACGCCAACGCCGTACGACCTTCATTAGAGCCGCGAGTAGCCTCGACCAAAACGCCACCAGACACGGCAAACGCCGTGCTGTCCATGTGCACTGGCGCCTGTCGACTGACGTGGGAGCAGTCGAGCATTGTCGGCACCGTGTTCGTTCTCTCCAAGCGCGGCAAAGAAGTCGCAACGCTGTGTGCCGCTTGCTACGCCTCGCAAAAACCGACGCATTGTGACGACGTCACCGTCACAATGCGGCTGGCGGCCAGTATACCGTCGCTCGGCGAGTCGAGTCGCGACAAGCTGGAGGCCTACGCCGACGTTGTGCACCGGTGGACGACCGACGGCCCATGGATTGCCAGCATCCTCGCCTTTGCGCCACTGGCCATTCCGCTACTGGTGTTGGCCGACCACTGCCAGCTGTCGTCGGCGGCCTTGCCGTGGCCGCTGGGACCGCTGCTCGACATGTGGCGGAATCTGCGAAAGTGGCCCATGCTTGTGTTTGGCGTCTATCTTGCCGGCGTCCTCGCAGCGCTGATCGCTACGAGCCCGTTCATCGCGCAGGTTTGGTTTTGGGCCATCACCGAGTTTTACACGGTTGTCTTCTTTGTCGTCTACCTCGTGGAACCGCCGACAAAGAATGTGTCGCGCTGGGACGCCTTGTTCAAGCCGGTGAGCGCGATCTACGATGTCCAAAAGCGACTGGACGATGTCGATTCCGACGCCCTCCTAGTGCACTTTGCAGCCGCCAAACGCGAAATTGACGTGACGCGCTTGCAGTTTGTGGCAGTTGACGGCACGTTGATACCATCGTCGCACGTGGCCGCGGCCTTTGTCGCCCCCTCGATCAAGCGTCACGTCGCGAGCCGGCTCGCGGGCCCGCGCTGCGGCATTCTTCTCGCCATCATCGCGACATTGAGCTACAACACGCCATTTTTGCTCGCGTGGCCGTCGGGCGCGAATTTGATCACATCGATGGTCCCTGGTGTGAACGGCCTCGTCATCTCGCCCGCCGACACTACGTACAACGTCTCGTGGGACGTTGGGTACTGCAACAACGTGTCATCGACGGCAAGCGACGCGGTCGTCAACTTTTTCATTTCGCCGCCACCGGATGTCGGCCGCCCGGCACTGACGTTTGGCTTTACGATCGAGACCGAAATGGATGTCGAGTTTGAGATCCTCTCGTCGTGGAATCTGCAGCTGCAGGACGAATATCGACACAATGCCACGGTCGTTCTTGCGAAAGACCAAGCCGCGCTCAGCTTTCTCGCGCGCCTCTCCACCAGTTGCACCACGTTGAACGCGACGGGTTTGAGTTGGAGCATCCAATACGACCATGTCTCGCTCAAGGGGTTTCTAGCGTACGTCGACAAGTTCTTGGCCATGCCAGGGATCGTGCCGTCGATTCTTGCGGCCAAGTACGTGCTGCAACTTGTATACATTACGCTGCTCCTCATTCGAAGTTCGCTCAAGATCTGGTCGCTCTGGCTGCACTTTGACTCGATCACATCGATGGGCTTTGATTGCCTTCAGTATGGCCGCGCGACCATTGCCCTCACCGATGCCGGCAACATTGAATCGTGGTTCACGCTGCGCAACGGTGTGGCGGCCACGACCACCTTCATTGTCGAGTTCTCCACCGTCTTTATCCAGTGCGCGATGCTCCAGTTTGGGTGGACGTCAACGGTCGTCCTCATCTACTGCGTCACGGGCAGCGCGCCACTACCAACCTACTTTTTGCTCTTGACGGGTCTCGTCGGGTCGCTCTCACCCCTTGCGATGCTCGTGCCATTGGCAGCGGCTCTCGATATTCAGCGCGACCACGGCGCGATGTTGCGGACGCACCTTCTCCGGCTCGAGTTTGAGCGCCGACGCGCCGTCTTAAACGGCACCGATGCTGGGTTTGAAGAGCGCATTGCACGGTTCCAAACCATTATCGATGCGGTTGACAACCATGACGCGCGCATGACGTTTCTGTGGATTGAGATTTCGCTCGCACGCCTCGCGACAGTTGGCGCGACCTTGGCGTCGCTCGTGTCGTACATTGCCTTGCATCCCGTGCGATTTACGTGGGCGGGCCTCAACATCTACAACTGGATGCAACGCCAGATGTGGGCAAATTCCCTCGACCCTAGTAGCAACACCCCCCAAGCCGTAAACGGTGTTATCTTCAACTAGACACTTCCACGACGGCATCGCTCGTACGAGCAGAACGTAAGAAGCGATACTTTGGCAGTAAAGTCTTTGAGCTTGTCTTTGCCAAGTTGATTTCAACGCGGGCACGATTGATTGATGTATGGATTACCGCTGCAACCCATCTTTTGTGTGTGCTCCCATGCTCGGAGTCTATCCAAGGAATAAACAATAGTTGGTTATTCCGTCGAGTCAAACAATCGGGTATTGGGTACACCGCTGCGCTCGACCGTGAGGGCATTGACACAAGAGTAGACGTACTCTGGATCGACACTTGCCAACGGTGAGTGCCAACTAGGACATGCAGCCGCGGAAAACCGCCACATCCCGTAGTCTTGAACTGATTCTATCTAGGTATCCTGGAGCTCAAAGGCGGGTGTTTTCATAGTTTCTGCAGCCATACCGCAGAATAACGTCGTATTTGCGGTCCTACGCAAGGGCGCCCGCAAGCACGGCAACATCCTTATCTCTTCCCTCGACATGTTGAAGCCCATCTTTCGAGACCACGGGCCATTTACACGCCAAGTGCCTGCGCCAACTTCACGACACAGGCAGACGGGTTTCGCCATCCTCAGGCAGTCGTTTGGTGTAGTACCTTCGTGCTCATGCAAACGTTATTGGCTCTGACAACATCCGGATAAGAATTGTGACGTGGCGCTCGGAGGGGCATGCAAAGTGGGACGTAAAACCGTTGTTCCGGACATTACACCAAGTTGACCACGTCTTGTTTGCGTCAATAAATTCCAACTTCAGACGCAAGTAGTGTGGGTTCAAGTCCCGTAGGTGCTGTCTCTTTCGTCTCAGTTCCATTGGCGTTGGCGTTGGCACCGCGTGGATGGTTCTTAACACATAACGTCACGATAGCCTCGGACGATAAAAGCAGAAGACATGCGCGTCCCATCAAGGACTGCAAATGCCAACACGCTAAAACCGCAAAATGAAGTTATAAAATCGGGTTTAACCATCGTCACATCGCATGCCACGGTGACGATGCGCGCGTCGGCGACACAAAGACGCCCAGAGATGTCTCCACGAGGTGGTGCTGCTCCATAAGAGCTCGGATTGTCGGAGTCGACGCGTCCTCGTCCACATGGAGGGTGACGTTGTGGCACGCGCCGAGCGCTGTCAAGAGGAGCTTTATGGACGCCAGCGTAAGCTCGTTCTCCGAGAGGTCGAGCGTCAGATGTCGTGTGTTGCGACCGGATGCGAGCGCAACGGCCAGCGCGGCAACGTCATCGTCACCGATCTGTGTCGATAGCAGCTTCAACGTCTCGAGGCCTCTCGCCATCCACGCCGGCAGCGCCCGCGCCAGCTCGATAAACCCAGCCGTCCCGATCTCCGTGTTTCTGAAGTCGACGCTAGTCAAGCAGCGCGAGGTCGAGAGCTGCTGCATGAGCTTGACGGCGTCATGCTTCGTGTTGAACGTGACGTTGCGCACGGCGACAGTCGCCAGCTGCGGCCAGACACCCGTCGTCGTCGTGACGTCGAACCACATGTAGTCGAGGCTCAGAGAAGCAAGCGCGGGCCACGCTGCGACGATATTCAAGATTTGCGTGACGTGTGGTGTGTCATCTTCATCGTCCTCCTCGTCCAGGTCGACAGAGACCGAGACCACCTGGTTTGGATCCAGCTTTTGGAGCAACTGGCGCACCATTTCGCAGTGACGTCGAAGTACGTGCACCGACAGCGCCGTGATGTGGTGTAAGGTGTGCGGCGACGCCACCAAAGCTTCTTGGACGTCAAGTGCGCTCGTAAAGCTCAGCGAATGGAGCGTCGAGCTCGCGTGGATCGCACTGGCGAGCGCCACTGGGTCCGTCACAGAGTCGCAGTCGAGCGAGAGTGACGTGGCGCTACGTCCTTGTAGCCACGCGATGATGGCCGTGGCGTCGACCAATGGCTGTTCCGGGGCCGTCACCTTGAGCGAACGCAAGCTCGCAGTCGGAATCGCCGCCAAGTTCGCGGCAGTCACTTGACTCTCGATCGTCGCATACTGAAGATGGACGCAGCGCGCAAGGATGTCCGGGATCATTCCGAGGTCGAACTCGGGTCCTGTGACAGTCGCTTCGACGACGTTGGTGCCCCAGAAGTATGCCAAGGCGGCATGGTTGCCAGGGACGGACACGTTCACGACGAGCGATGCCGGCATCGTCGGTGGCAGCGTAGCACCGAGCCACGCAAGAGCGGTAAAGCCAGCGTCCACTTTGACACTGGCGAAAGCTGGCAGCGCATCGATGGCGAGGCGAGCATATTCGATTGGTACGTCTACCACATGCACGCCCGGCCAGTGCTCGTTGAGGTCGACGACGGCGCCGAGGTCGCGGAGCGCGATGAGCTCGGGCGGCAGCGTCGACACCGACAGCGCTTCAAGGAACGCAACCACGTCGCACGCATCGCCCATCATGCGGAGGAGGCCATGGAGAACGACGCATGGCAGGCTCAACGACGTGGCGCGCTGGCAGACGCGCTTGGTCATCCTCGGGCGGCAACTCGCTTTCTTGGCTTCTGGTTGTGAAATCTTACGACCTCTCGGAATGCATAGCTTGCCGGATAAGAAGTATTCAATGAGAGAGATATGACGTGGCGCTTGGAAATGCACGGTAGCACGGCCTGATCACACAGCTCAACGCAGCGCCTCGGTCGACACCGCCGACACGTACGCATCACGCAAAAGGCGTCGGCAAGCAGAGTCTAATTCAGTTGGAGATTGGACACACTTTTATTGGACCTCGGTTGATTTTAGCTGCATTCTTCTGCAAAACTAGTCATGGAGAGCATCCCTCGCTATGTCGTACTACTGGTATGCCACAGGGACGAGGCGCGCGTCGGCGACGTAAAGACACCTGGTGACGTCTCCACGAGCTGGTGCTGCTCGCCGAGTGCTCGAATTTCTTCATCAAGCTCGTCCTCGTCCACATGGAGCGTAACGTTGAGGCACGCGCCGAGCGCTGTCAAGAGCAAGGTCACAGTTGTGGACGTGAAAGTGTTCTCGGTCAAGTCCAGTGTCAGATGCCGCTTGTTACGGCCGGCTGCGAGGACGAGGGCGACGACGAGCACGGCAACGTCGTCGTCCGTTGGCCTTGCATCACTTAGCGACAACGTCTCAAGGCCTCTCGCCATCCACGCCGGCAGTGCCCGCGCCAGCTCCACGAAACTCTCTGTCTCGAGCTGCGTGCGGTCCAAGTTGACGACCTTCAAGCGGTGCGAGGTCGAGAGCCACTGGAGGAGCTCGATCTCGTCAGCCGACCGAGGGAGCACCGAATAGCGTACTGCGACGGTCGCCAGCTGCGGCCAGACGCCAGTTGCATCTTCGAGAGGAGGCATGTGCACGTTGTAGAGGCTCAGCGACGTCAGTCCCGGGCACAACGCGAGAGTGCTGAGGACATCCGTCTCGATCTGTTCATTCAAACCGCCATCAAGGTGGAGCGAGAACGACGTCACCTTGGTCCGATCCAGCTTCCGGAGCAGTCGGGGAGCCAGCTCATGTTGGCTGTCATGCACACGCACCGAGAGTGCCGTGATGTGATGCAAGCTCATTGGCGACGAGATCAGCGCTTCTAGAACGTTCGGCAAGCCACCGACGCTGAGCGAGGTCAGATGCGCGCAGCCTGCGATCGCACTCGCGAGTGCCGGCGCGTCAATGACGGTCTCGCACGAGAGAGACAAGGTCGCTGCGCGGGGCCCTTGCAGCCAGCTGACAATGGCGGAGGCGTCGACGCCATATTGGTTCCCCCCATCGACCTTGAGCGTGTGCAGATGCGTGGTCGGGAGCGCCTTCAAGTACGACGTGGTCGCAGCAGGCGTTTTGCACATCTCGATGGACACGGATTGAACGTTCACGCAGCGTGTGAGGACGTCCGGGATCGCGTCCGACTCGAGA